AGCAGAGTGTTTAGCAGCCCTCGTCTTGACTGGTAGGTGCTATTTCGGCAATTGCGTGAGGAAGTTCTGCTTGTAGCTATGGGTAATAGAGCTTTTTGTACTGACCTTGGTAGTGTTAGTGATTTTCGGTCGCTGTTATGAGAAGCCGGTTTGTGGTTCTCTCTGTTGACAAATCTGTTAGTCTTGTTTTTTCGGATGCTTGATCTTTTGATCAAGAGAGCTTCAATAAAACTTCCAACTTACCGAAAAAAGAAAAAAAGAGTGTTATCTACCATATTTCGTACCTAATTTTATCTAAAGCATACCACGAGTTTACTAACACACCACATGTTTCTTAAAATATACCAGAAACTTCATAAAACATACTAGAAACGTCATAAACTTTTGATCTGCTTTAATGAACTTGGGAATTACTTTATGAGTTCTTGGTATGCTTTACGAGGTTTCTGGTACGCTTTCAGAAACTTGTGATGTGTTTTAATAAACTTGTAGTATACTTTAGGAGGTTTCTGGTATGCTTCAATAAACTTTTAGTCTCGTTCAATAAACTTTGAGATGTGCTTTTATTATACTCGTGATCCGCTTTAATAATTTTTGTTACGCTTTATGAGGATTCTGGTGTGCTTTGGAAAATTTGTGCTATGATTTAAGAAACTAGTGATATGCTTCAATAAACTTTTCGTTTGCTTTAAGAAAATTGTGGTATGCTCTAAGAAACTTGTGGTATGATTTATGAGGTTTATGGTATGCTTCATGGAATTTGTTGTGTGGTAATGTTTTGGTATGTTTTATATGTTTTCTAGTATGCTTTATGGTATTTGCAGTGTTGTTTATTGTGTTTCTTATATGTGTTTTATGTTTGCTTCAAGATATTGTTGTGAGACGGAATTAAACAGAGCACCCCCTTTAAATTTTAATATGAAAAACGTGTCCCTCCCTTTATTAATCCGCAATAGTTATTGTCAATTAAACAATTGGAATGAACAAGTCATCGAATTAAACAGGATTTGAGGTATAGTACTATACAATAATCTATAACGAGTAAATTCAGGGTCCAATTCAAAACTCGAATATCAATTTAATAAAAAATAATAATCGTCGATTTGATTCGTCGATGTACAAACGACTAGATTACTTGAAATATGTTACAATCCAAGAATTCATGTAATTTAACAAATTAGATGTTCATCCATAAACTTCGAACTAGGGGTGGCTACACGATCCGGTCTGGCTAAATTGGCCCTAATTGATCCTGTCTCGGTCCGGTCTTTTTGGGAATATAAGGACAAAAGATGGGATTGGATACAGTCTGGACTTCATCCGGTCTGGACCCAATTCGGTCTTTATTTTAGATTGAACTTGTGAAAATTTGAGTGGTCTGAGACCTCAAAAGGTGAGGAGTTGGTTAAGTTTTGAGTGTTGAGCTCTCTTATCCGGTTTTCAATCCGATCTGAAACTATTTTTTTACCTCAAATCTAAGCCTGAAGATGGGATTGGATTGTTTGCTATCCAGTTCTGGTACGGTCCTGGTCCAGGTTATTGATGACTTGATATTTACACATGTTTTTGTCCACCATTCCTGTACCGTTTAAGTCTCATCTCTCGTGTTTTAGGTCGATTTCACGCTAGGTTGTTCTTGTTTGTGATATTTCAGGTCCTAGTACGTGAAAGAAGGTTTGGGCATGAGTTCGGGATCGATTGGACGAAGTTGGGACGTTTGACGAAAAGCTGGAAATTCCACACCGGCAGACCTAAATTCCACACGGCCGTATGACTTGGCCGTGTGAAATTCCATGACGCGGGCAAGCCACACTGGCCGTGTATGGGACCCCTTGTGGCCGTGTGGAAAGTCCACGGAGCTCACACGGCCAGACTGGAAATCCACACAGTCGTGTGGTTTTGGCCGTGTAGCGTACCTGAAGCCACTTAAGTGAAACGCGACGTTTTGCACTTCCACACGGCCGTGTGGCCTGGCCGTGTGATCGGGCAGAACTGGGTTTTAACCCAATTTCGAGCCAAAGGAGTGGGGAATCGAGTTTTTGAGCAAGAAACAGAGCCCTAGAGAGAGAAAGTGCGAAGAACACATCCCAGAAGTGATTTTGGAGCTGGGTTTCATCAATTGAGCTTGGAGATCATCATAGGAGTGAAGATCATCATTCCAGAGCAGATTTTCCTCATCTTTATGAGTATGACTACTCTGATTTCTGTTTTTCTCTCTCTCTCTTTGGAGTAGAAGCTTCTCTCACTTGGGTATGAAGAACCCTAGTTCCATGTGTTAGGGATCTTGATTGTAATGACTTGGGATTATTATACTGATTGATTTTAATCGATTGATGCATGATTCATTGAGTCAATTGAAGTCTGATCATCTTTTCTTGATTTCTGCTGCAACCTGAGATAGATAGAATCTGATTAGGTTGTTAGAGCTTCAATCAGTAGTGGTAGATTATTTATACGAGAGTTAATCGATTTACTGCTTTGTACTGGAATCCAATTCTAGTAGTGGAGTTCTGTGTTCATAGCCTCAGCTTTCTATCCCGATGAAGACTAGTCATCTGCCGGGTAGTTGGACTGAGAGGGCTTGGTCAGCTTAAGAGATTTCAAGCTACTGTCGGATCTTCCGTAGTTTAATCAACAGTTAACCAACCCAGGGTAATTACAACTGTGACCTAACTAAGGAGCTAGGGGGACTCATTCCCGAGTGACTCTTCCCTTGCTTTAGAAAACCGAACCATTTCCTGCTTTCTTACTACTTTTAGTTAAAATCAGAATCACTCTACTTAGCTTGCTAGATAATAGATATTCACGGAGTAGGCAGTAGATCTAGACCTCGGGTTGACAAATATAGCTGGCCTGTTACTGCATTTCCGGACTACGATTACACTTGGTGACAGTTTGGTGTTGTGTTTTAGCGTGTCAGTTATGCGGACCGTTTTCTGGTAAACCCAAAAAGTCCGGACCAAATAGTCTGCCCTACTTCGAACAATCAGTTAATTAGTGTTTTTATATTACTCCATTTTTATTAGCTATTACTCAATTTATCATACCCATCCGATATACCCTATTACTAAATGTTGGCGAAAAAACTGTAAGTGCACAGTGTTGTACAAGTAATAAAGTGTAAGTAAAGTTATCATTCTCTAGGGGATTGGTGAAATTCAATAATTAACAAATTCAGTTCAAGAAACTATACAAATTGCAAAGGTTGTAATCAAGTGATGAGTTGTAGAATTACTAAAATTAATAAACTCGGAAAATGAAATATTTTGGAGAAATTGACTTTTGAGAGTTTCGGGGGAAACACAAGATTCTACTATTTACCTTGTTAATTATAATTGTCCTTGTTAATCAATTTAATTCATATTTCTAAAGTCGGGATACCTCTAAATTGATAGTTATCTCTATCGAGAGTCACCACGTACTAACTAATTAAGACAATTTCTACTATCATAGTTAACAAAATTAATTAATTAGCCTTAAGAACGATATCCCTAAAATGATTGCATAATTCCCTATTTAATCCGCTATCGCTTCAATAGGCAATTATGTTGTGTGAAATGTGTTCGGTTATTAGATTTTCACTACCGTTATTAACCTAGAAAACTACAAATCATTGTGAAGGTGGCCAATCAACACAAAGCGTTAAAAAATTTCACACGATAGAAAATGGAGGAAAAACAAGTCATGATTAAAACATCAAGGCTTGATAATGAAATCCATAAGTTCCCCCCCTAGAAATTGGGGGATTAGTATATGATGAAAAGAAAGTACATAAACATGCTAATGTTCAACATGATAGCTAATTACCGACTCGCTCGAATCTACACTACAATTAAACCCCAATTAGAGCCCAAGTTTTAAACTCTAATTGGGTGTAGTATAGGGAAAGTATCTATATATCGACCTGGGCCGGTCTGTCTACCCCTACTTCGGTTGTTGAAATTAGTATCTAGCGATAAAACTTTGGTTTAAAGGTTTCCCAATTGAAATGAAAGAAAGCAAAAGTAATTTGGTTTTAAAACTCTTTTGTGGGGAAATCACTTGGGTTTTGCTTCCCCCTAAACCGCTACTATGCTACGTGGGATGGAATGATTGCCTTGGGCACGCTAATCTTGAAACGCAGAAGAAAGCGTATATGGTCGGGGACCACAGTCTCGATTGCTAAACCAAGGTGAAGATGAAAGGTCGTGTCACTCGACCCTCTCAGTTTAGACAATCGGTAATCGACTTACTTCCTCACTCAACTCTAAGGTCGGATGGTTTAATCACGATTAATCGACTTGTTCAATTCAATATTGAGGATTGCCCTAACTCGACCTAGTTTAGGTGGCTTGGAAAGCGGAAGGAAAACCAACTCGATTGAGTCTCCCTTAAAAGAGGCATTTTCCTTTCTAAACTAGGCTAAGTTGGCAAATTAGATTACTAGCACCTAAATGAACAAACTTAGGGGGTACTAAGCACGATTATGCACAACCCTAGGATGCTATGCACAAAATATGCACAACCCTAGGATGCTAAGCACAAAATATGCACAACCCCTAAGTTGCCAAGCATAAGCATCCCAAATCATGGTGAAAATACCTCAAACATTAAATTGAACAATGCCCAATATCAATCATTCAAACCACATACAAGAAAACTATATAGTAGGGTTTAGGGTTTCACAACACCCAAGTGGGAGAAGGACTACTCCATGGAAGAAGTGGGAAGAACAAAGGACAAAAAGGTGGAAATCATCTTGTGGGGATGCCTCCTCTCTTCTTTAACCTTGAGCTGGGATTTCCTTGGGGAAATCTTCCCAAAACCTCCTTTGATTTCTTCAACAAGATGTACCCTGCAGGTGGCGGCCCGATTTCATCATCCATGCCTAATAACTGTTCCCTTTCTGTACCATTCGCTCGTCGTGGTCGGTCCGTCCAAAAATCATATCATCAGCTAGGCACACATAGACACCAACAGTGTTCAATACAGTGGGAAAATGGTTGATAGGAAATGGTACCTCTCTTCTCCTTCTTAGGATGTTTCGAGGTGGTTGTCGTTGGTTGGGGCAGAGGAGGCGGGAGGTCATCTATCACAATGTCATCTATGCTAAGCTCCTCTGCTTTCTCGCTCTGGATTGGAGGAGTAAGAGATGATGAGTCAGATTCTGGCTGTTGTGGTTCGTGAGATGTCGAGTCTGGCAATGCGGGCGGTTTGGCAAACAAACCCTCAAGATGTCGAGTCTGGTCAGGTTTACAGCCTTTGAAGCTTTTGGCAAGACAGCCAAGGATTCCTGGTTTAGTACTATCCTTCATGTGACCATGCATAAGCTACATGGCCGAAAATTCATCGTCTAGCTTGGGATAAGTTAAGAGATTATTTGACCATGAGAACCTGCTTTTTCTTTTGATTGAAGGAGACCTTAAATGAAGCATCTGCAGCAGCTGCAAGAACCTTATCATGAGAGAAGGAAGTGATTGCGGTATCCTGGGAAGTTAAGGTGTACTGCATCATTTCATTAGAAGATGAAAAGTAAAACCTTTGCATTACCAGGCATGAATTTACCTGAAAATAGTGATACGAATGCCATTTCGCTTCCGTTCGCCTACAGAACCGTTAAGCATAGTCAAGTTTCGTTGGAGACCTCAGAACAATGTGAAAGAACCCATGAACTTCATACTTGACTGGAGATGAGTAAAGTAAATTATACTAATGCAATGTGCCCACTATTGGAGCTCATAATCTTCTCCATCTTGTCCTTGAAGTTCCACCTTAGAATGGAAAGAAATGACTGTATCAGAGTTTTTGGAACGAATATGCCAGCCTGATGAATGATGTAGTAGCAGACATGGTTTCTCTTGCCAAAAAACTTAGTTGGTTTTCATATTGAGATGAGCTTTCAACTCACTTTATATTGAGGTTAGAGTTTAACTTACTTTCACGTGTACTTTCTGTAACAAACCAAAAGCTGGCTTCATTCGAGCTCTCATTCAAATTATAAACACGAACCTGCAATTCAAATAGGTACCAAGAGGTCACATAACACAATTGCCATCTAATGTTAGCATGCAGAACTATGCCTATATTCCATACTCTTTCAAAATCATCAGATACTTCTCAATTCTTACCAGACCATGGTCAGTTCCTACAGCCAATAGCAACGTGTCAAAGCAGAAGTCCAAGGATGTTACTGGAGCACCGAAAGCCACAAGCTCTACTCCTTGCATCTGTGAATGATATATCAAGGTATTGAGGCCTTATACAACCGAGCAGAAGCTATCGAGAACAAACATTGAGAGTACTTGCTAACCTTCCCCTCTATAAGGATAATAAGTGATACGAGAGGCCACATTGCATTCCACATTCACACGGATCCATCTTGACATCCTGCTATGTACACTCTCTCAACACCAATGCTTTCAATAGAATGACTCAGCGTCCCTATTGACCTCTCCTTTGGGCTAGCAGCCACTGAGTTGGAGCTTCGCTTCTTAGCTAAACCAACCTAAGAAGTCAACATATTTAGAAGAAAAGAACTAAAAATGAAATCAAAGGTAAGTTGCACATGTCATTGGAAAGTTTTGGAGAGTTCGCATGCATTGGCAATGCAATGAATCTTGTTGCAGTCATGGGCGGACCAACTGTTGGCACTATAGCTGGGAATTCTAGAGAGATAACAATTGCTTTCCTATCTTGATGAGACAGTAAGGAAGATAAGCTAGCACCATCAAAATGATGCAATTGGCCAGGGCTAGTCAATACAGTAAGAGCAGCTTTCTGTTGATTATCCCTATATCACTTGAGCCCCCATTTGGCAGCACAATCATGTCAGCGAAGGAGCCATTAAGCGTGAGGTCCATACGCCCAGCACATTTTAATCTCTCAGCTTTAGACGAGGACCATTGTAGTGACACAATCTGTGGTTGGAAGAGGGGAAATAAATGAGATATAACCACAATTTAAAAAATAAATCTTGTCTGTCAAACATTTCCACAACTCACTGTTAAAACTTCGTCAGATCCTGTTTCAACACCACCGTAGATAAAAAGTTAGCCACCATTGCAAGAGTCGCTGGATTTACTGGTTGAGGACCAATGTAAGACAATCACGATATCTGCAGACATCACCAGTAACTTCTTTGTTACTACATGACTCTATACTATAACATTAAATGATGCTGCAAGCTACTTCTATGATGGCCATAAAAGTGACTTAAGCCAAAATAAAATTGGAATTCACTCGAGCGCTTGCTCACAAGCTAAGCGGCCATAGATGATGGAATAGAGACTGAGTTTGCTTCTTTGTACTCATGAGTCTACTGTTGTTGTTGCTGCCCTATCCAAGGAGAAGGCTATACCATTGCTCATTTTCCTAGTAATTACATATATATGGTACCATTTCTTGAAAACAGGGACTATATAATATCGTAATGCAATGGGATGAAAAGACATCCATGGCTACTTGTGCGTGTGTGTCTATATATAATAAAACTGAAGGGCTTTCTCTTTCGTTGTTACTTGGTGCTTACTTCCAAGGGAGAGCAGCAGTGAGGATAACTAGCTTATAGTTATGTTAGCTTTCCTCATCACTGTATTCATTCAGTATGATGATCATACTGCAACCCTCCTCGACGTTATAACCCAACAAAATGTCAAGTGGACATAGTATCTCGGATCCACCGATTAACCTAACAAATGTCCAGTCAACATTATGCAATTAATACAGTAATTATGCAATTAGTGCAGAATTAAAATTGAATAGCTATACAAGCTGCTACAACATCAATGGCAAGCAGAATTAAAATTTTGAATAGCATGGAAGCAAAACAGGTCCATGGTCATTCATAAAATGAGAAATTTGAGAAAGAAAGGGACAGGGAAACGTTGGTCGTCATCACCATATCTGATGAACAGAAGCAGATTATGAAGAGTCTACAGCGTAAATAACTTCAGAAGCAGCACTCAGGAGTGGAAAATCATAGTTCCCCCAAATACCTTCCTCCTTACCACCCCATCACCCTATCCCCTTCTCTCCCGGAACCAAACTCTCTCACTAATGGGAACTGAACTGAAAACAAAACAAGAAAGAACAAACACCAGAATTGCACACGCCTCTAGTGGTCTAATCAAATGATGTCATTGGTTCCTGGGAAGGGTGATTCGTCGGCAAGGATGGGATTAAGCAGCTGGTGCCGCAGCTAGAGACAGCATTTGCGACGACAGGGGATCTGTGGAGAATTTCGTCGAGCAGTTGGTGAGTGAGAACGTGGAGAAGTCGATGACGAGTGTGGCGGCTGATTCGGTCCAACCACAGCCGAAGGTGGAGAAGTCGATGACGAGTGTGGCGGCTGATTCGCTCCAACCTCAGCCGAAGGTGGAGAAGTCGATGACGAGTTTGAGTTAAGAAGAATCAGACGAAGAATGAGAAGAAGAGTGGAGGAGTGAAGATCATTTTTTGGGTAAATAAAGCAGATTCTGGGATCGATCAGAGAAGATATCTACGGATCGACGAAGTTTGGGGGGAAGTGTGAAGACTAGAGAGTGAAGCCCTCGGAGGGGAAACACGGGTAATTCGCATCCACACTATTTACATGTTATTCGCATACAGTTTTCCAAGCACAGCTTGTTCCTTGGAGGCCAACCTCAACCCAACCAAGTTTCCCGCCCAACTGAGCCACATTATTATTCCTTTTTCTTTTATGAAACTTTTACTCCATTGGAAATTTATAACAAGTTAAACCCTAATCGACCTTTCTCCTTCCTCGATTCTTCACCGCTGCAAGCAGCAACTGCCGTCGTCGACTCGTCCCAGCTGTCGTCGCTGACGCGTCCCTGTTTTGCGATGAATTCCTCTTCTTCCTCGTCACCAAATCGTCAATTTCCTCTTCTGCCGTCGAATTGTTGTTTGCTGCCCTCTTTTTGCTGCGACTTCCTCTTAGTTTTCGCTAAATGGGTCGCCCCAATGTGAACAAGTAATATTCTTTTTCTCGGTTAACATTTACAATTAAAGAGATACAACTGCATCCTTTTAATTGTCACTATTTACGCAGATATCCCTATCTGTATTCTAAACGTTGGACGAAGCTGGAAACACGAATTTGGTGTGCTCCACATCGAGTATGTGATGCTTTAAGTGATATTAAAAATAATCAGAAAGATTTCTTGCTGCAAAAGGGATTTGGGAAGTTCCTTTGGATTGTTATGGACCAACTTGATATATATATGGGTTCATGGATCATAAACCAGTATAACCCCATTGATCATACCCTCACACTTCCAAATGGAACTGTGCATCATGTCGTGGAAGAAGATATTGAGTTTGTGTATGGGCTGCCCAGAGGGGATCTGGAAGTCCCTACCATGGAAACCGACACTGATCAATTTCTTCCTGCACAACTGTCCGACTTGGCAGTTGCAATGAATACAGCTCATGATCCCGAGAGCTGGTTCAAGTTGTTTTTTGTATACTTATGCAACTCTCTCTTTGTTGGTTCGAAGCATGATGTTGAGACAAAGTTTGCGAATCTTGTTAATGATAAAATGTTTTTAAGTTTCAACAACTTCAAATGGTGCAAGTACTTCCTCCAACTATTGAAAGATACTATTGCTTCTGAACCTAGAGCAAATCGTCGTGCTGATTATTATTTCCTTGTGGTAAGTTTCATTTATTATTATTATTATTCATATATCAGTGGGTTTGCATATATTGGTTTTCTTTTTTGTATTAACCGTGTTTTGTTTTGTTTGTTTTTATTATTGAAGGTTTTGTATCTTGTTAATCACTATAGATCGAAAATTCAGAAACCTTGCAGAGTGGCTTCAATCGAGATTTTGTGAAAGAGAAACTGAATGAGGCCATAGAGCAGGACTGCCTTCGTAGGGGTATTGGCACTGAGGAAATTCGTCTCGAACATGACTGTGCCAAAAAGGAGGCTAAAAAGGGTTAAAAAAAAGCTAAGGGTTCTACAACATGTGACAATGTTGGTGCCTAGATGGAGTTTGATTCTGCTACTTTGTGGAAGAAGATCACAATTCCAATACCTGAGATTGTGATTTCTGAAGTTAAGAGTCATAAAGAGGTAATCTCCCCCCCCCCCCCCTTTTTGCTGCGACTTCCTCTTAGTTTTCGCTGAATGGGTCACCCCAATGTGAACAAGTAATATTCTTTTTCTCTGTGAACATTTACAATTAAAGTGATACAACTGCATCCTTTTAATTGTCACTTTTTACGCAGATATCCCTATCTGTATTCTAAACGTTGGACGAAGCCGGAAACACGAATTTGGTGTGCTCCAAATTGGGTATGTCATGCTTTAAGTGATATTAAAAATAATCAGAAAGATTTCTAGCTGCAAAAGGGATTTGGGAAGTTCCTTGGGATTGTTATGGACCAACTTGATATATATATGGGTTCATGGATCATAAACCAGTATATCCCCACTGATCATGCCCTCACACTTCCAAATGGAACTGTGCATCATGTCGTGGAAGAAGATATTGAGTTTGTGTATGGGCTGCACAGAGGGGATCTGGAAGTCCCTACCATGGAAACCGACACTGATCAATTTCTTCCTGCACAACTGTCCGACTTGGCAGTTGCAATGAATACCGAGAGCTGGTTCAAGTTGTTTTTTGTATACTTATGCAACTCTCTCTTTGTTGGTTCGAATCATGATGTTGAGACAAAGTTTGCGAATCTTGTTAAGTATAAAATGTTGTTAAGTTTCAACAACTTCAATTGGTGCAAGTACTTCCTCCAACTATTGAAAGATACTATTGCTTCTGAACCTAGAGCAAATCGTCGTGCTGATTATTATTTCCTTGTGGTAAGTTTCATTTTTTATTATTATTCATATATCAGTGGGTTTGCATATATTGGTTTTCTTTTTTGTATTAACCGTGTTTTGTTTTGTTTGTTTTTATTATTGAAGGTTCTGTATCTTGTTAAATCACTAGAGATCGAAAATTCAGAAACCTTGCTGAGTGGCTTCAATCGAGATTTTGTAAAAGAGAAACTGAATGAGGCAATAGAGCAGGACTGCCTTCGTAGGGGTATTGACACTGAGGAAATACGTGTCGAACATGACTGTGCCAAAAAGGAGGCTAAAAAGGGTAAAAAAAGCTAAGGGTTCTACAACATGTGACAATGTTGGTGCCCAGATGGAGTTCGATTCTGCTACTCTGTGGAAGAAGATCACAATTCCAATAACTGAGATTGTGATTTCTTGAAGTTAAGAGTCATAAAGAGGTAATCTCC